TTGACAAAGTTTAAAGTCACACCAGCGACCCTCCCCTTCACAAATTAGCTCAGCAACCGGTGGATCCCCCCCTACTGGCATAATCAGGGGATTAAAGCGGAGAGGCTCAAACTGGTTTTGGGGGACCCAAGTAGAGTAAAGCATTGACGCCGCACGACCATTACCAATTTGCCACCTTAATCCCATCTCTAGCAATTGGGCCCAAATAGGATACTTTGCCAGCCCCACGAGGGGCGCGAACGAGCTTTAGAGTTTAGGAAATGGCCAGTCGGGAAATATTTCCCCTTATAAACTTGGGCAAGGAGCGACTGGGGTTCACTAAGGATACGCCACCCAACTTTGGCCAGGAGGGCCTGATTAAAATGTTCAAAGCGGCGAAAACCCATCCCCCCTTCATGCTTACTCCGACACATATCCCTCCAGGACATCCAATGAACTTTCGAATGTTTGTCACTAACACCCCACCAGAATTGGGCAACATGCTTATCCAGAAGAGGGCACAGAGACAAAGGGAGTTTAAAACACGACATCCCGTGTAAAGGCAAAGCCATGGCAATCGATTTAATCAGGGTCTCCTTAGATGCCCAAGACAAAGACCTTTGTTTCCACCCCTGAAGCCGCTCCATCAGCTTCTCCTCCAAATACCGGAATGTTTCCATCTTTGATCTAGCTATCAACGACGGGAGTCCCAAATACTTATCATGAACCCCAACGGCTCCTACACCCATAATAGTCGATAGAAAATCTTGATCCGGCCCCGCAATATTCTTACTAAAGCAAACCGCAGATTTAGTCAAGTTCACTCTTTGACCACTGAGATCCTCATATTCATTCAAAACGTCCATTAGATTTTCACATTCTTGTAGCGTGCCACGCAAGATTAAGTATGAGTCATCATCAAAGAAAAGATGTGAAATTCGCGGGGCCCTGGGAGCCACTTTAATCCCAGACAGCTTCTTTTCAGATATGGCCTTCCGGAGGAGAGCCGCAAACCCCTCAGTACAAAGTACAAATAGGAGAGGAGAAAGGGGATCGCCCTGCCGAAGTCCCCTCGAAGGAGAGAAATACCCAGACGGGGTACCATTCATCATCACTGAAAAAGACGTAGATCTAAGGCATTCATTGATCCAACCTATCCAGACAGAGCTGAACCCCAGCTTTTCCAACACCGAAAGGAGAAAGGACCATTCGACTCTATCATAGGCCTTTTCCATGTCAACCTTTAGAGCCATGTATCCTTTCTTCCCAAGTGTTTTGGTTTTCAGATAATGCACAAGTTCATGTCCTAGGAGGATATTCTCGACAATTTGTCTTTCCCGAATAAAAGCGTTTTGACCTTCAGAAATAATATTAGGTAAGATGCACGCCAGCCGTTCCACCAAAATTTTGGTTATAATCTTGTAAACAAATTGGCACAGGCTGATGGGTCGCAATTGCCTCATCGAATCCACATTATCAACTTTTGGGATTAACGTGAGCCAAGTGTGATTGAAGCTCCGCAAAAGTTTGCCTGTTGTAAAAAACGAGCAGACTGCGTCATTTACTGACGGCCCCACAATTTCCCAGAAGGCTTTAAAGAATTTGCCAGTGAAACCATCGGGACCTGGCGCCTGCTTGGACCCCATAGCACAAACCGTTCTGCGCACTTCCTCTGGGAGCACAGCCGCTGTTAGGGCCACATTCATATCCGGGGTAACGCTCTGGGCTATGGGTAGGGCACCAACACGTTCCTTCATATTTTGGACCTGATTTTCGGATGTAAAAAGATGACGATAGAACGTAATCGCCACACCCGCTTTACCCTTCTCATCCATGATCCATTCCCCGTTATCAGTCTGGAGCCCCGCCACAAAATTCCTTTTTCGACGAACTCTAGTAACAGTGTGGAAGTAGGAAGTATTTTTATCCCCCTTCTTTAACCAGTGGACCCTGGATTTTTGTTGCCAGTAAATCTCTTCCGCTTCCCACTGTCTACTTAGTTCAGTCTCAAGTTCACGGATCGCATGCCAATTGATCGGGGATTGGAGCTTGGTCCTATCAATCTCCGCCTGCAAAGTTCGGATATTACGCAAGGAATTATTGGTCCCCAGCTCTGCTCCAGTTATACAGAAGATGACGGAGTCTTTTGAGCCGCTCCCAAAGGCAAAACATAGGAGTGCCTTCAATAGTCTCATTCCAAACATAAGTGACCATAGCTTTGACCTCAGGATTATCCGCCCACCGAGTGTCAAACCGGAAGAGTGGGCGACTATGGCGGGCATATGATTTATCCGATAACAGAAGGGCCCGATGGTCTGAACCTTGGTCAGTAAAGTGTTTAACAATCGTTTCAGGAAACCGATCCTGCCAGGCTTGGGAACAAAGAGCTCTATCAAGCCTCTCCCGAATACACTCCGCCCCCATTCTTTTGTTCGTCCATGTGAATGGATCCCCTTGATACCCTGGGTCAAAAAGACCCAAATCTTGAATAAGATTACGAAGGCTATGGGATTGCACCATATTCCACTGATTACCCCCATCCTTCTCACTCGCAAGAAGAGTAGAGTTAAAATCACCAATGATAACATAGGGATCACTGATACCAGTACAGATTCCCTGCATCAAATCCAATTGGATAGCTTGAATAGCAGCATTACAACTGACGTACACAAAGATCACCACATAGGAAAAATTTATTTCATTAACTCGAACACAAATACAAAAATTCGAATGATAAAACACCGAAGCATTAACTTCGGGGGACCAAGCTACAACCAAGCCACCTGATGCATCAATCGCATCAACGAAAAAACAACACGAAGACAGGAAACCTAACCCCCGCATACGACGGGCAACTACTCGCCGGCTCGATCGCGTTTCAGAAAAAAAAACGAGATCCGGTTTATTAGAATGCACTAAACTAAAAGCTGTTTGGAATGTGAGGGATGGTCCAATGCCTCTCACATTCCAGGCCAGAAGCCTCATTTAACCGGCTGGGGCCACTCCAGGCTGGCTTCCTCCACCTTATCCATTTCTTCTTTTTCCTCGACGAACTGTTTCTTTGTGGTCGGTGTTTCCGCAACCTCCCCAGCAATCTCATCTAGGTGACGTTTTTTAAACCCCCTCTCCTGGTCAAAGAACATTGGTACCATACTCATTGATGGTAAGGACTGGGACATTGACCAGAGATTGCTGCAGGGGCACACCAATCGATGAATCCATTTCGGTCATAGCCAAACCCTTCTCAAACGCCTGGACCACTTGGTTCACCCGTTGCGATCGGACCAAGCGCCGCAGGCTCTCCTTACCCTCCGGGACTCGCCGCCGAACTTCAAAAACAGGAGGCTCCTCTTCTGATTCCGTGTCATTCGGCTCCCAAACCTCATGGGCCTGACTCGGATTGTCCCCCACTCGCGGCAACCCCAAGGGTTCCTTATCTTTCTTCTTTTTTTCCTCCCCCCTCCCTAGCTTCCTCTGTTTCTCGGTCAAGTTCTCAGTACGGATTTGGGCTGTCCCCCTAGTCCGCCTCGGTGAGGACATAATCTCGCTCCCATCATCGCTAGTGTCCGGAGGAATTTGTCTCAACGGCACAACATTCACAATTGGGTTGTGGCAGCCATCAATCCCATCCATTTTCGAGTCATTCCCTTGTTTGGGAGGTGGGATCTCCCGCTCCACGAACTCTTCTTTAGATTCTTCCTCCAGGACCAGCCTCCTACGTCTTGAAACCCCCTCCGCTTCCTATATTGGCGCCGCCGAAACACTCGGAACAGACAGTGAGGGCCGCTGCCAGTCAGTCTTGCGCCTCCTTTGATTCCGACCACCCTGACCCAGGCCTCCCTCATCCCCCTGTCTGGCCCCATTTGACCGGCCTCTCTCACGCTGGGCTGTGTTTGGCCCATCAACCATCATTGGGCTGGCAGTGCGCCCCTTACCCTTCACTCGCTGGGCGGTGTTTGGGCCATCCACCATCATTGGGCTGGCGGTGGGCCCCTTCCTTGTTTTGCCGTGACGAGTGGGCCTCCCTATTGCAATTTTCGGGTCTTTGGCCAACGAGAAGCGCATTGGGCTTCTCCCTTGTGCGTCCTAGGCCTAAGTTGTTCTGAAGGGCTCCACTAATGAACCCATCTAGAGCGGACTGCACTTGGAGGCTTGAGGCCCATTAGTGGGCGGAATAGCAGGCCTGGATCTTTGTTGGCCCACTGCTGCCTCCACCTTACTCCCCTGTGACCCTCGAGCAGTCGTATTCACCCAAACAGAATTTGGGTTTTGGCGGGGCTGATTACGTAACTCTTCACCATCGAAAATTTTCCTTCCCATATTTTTTGTTGACATATGAGGGCCAAATCGCTCCTTCCTCAACGGGGGATCAAAGATGCAAGTTTGCCGAGCATGTCCCACCCGTCTGCAGTTAAAGCAAAAGCTGGGGAGGAATTCATTCAGCGCCATAATTTGGGAACGCAGAGGTTTGGAAAAGTCCACAAGAGCCTTCAATTTGATAAATTTCCGCGCCGTGGCCGAGCATGAGAATACACCAGCTTCCAAAACGCGGCCAATCGTGGAATTCGCTATCTTACAGCCAAATTGGTGGGTGCAGCAGTCTTCCTGCACGTCCCAGAGCAGGACGCGGAAGGGAGCGATTGCGAGTTCCTCAAAAGTAAGCTGAGAAACAGAAGGAATCCATGATCTGAGATGCAGAACCCTATCTGCAACAATCCATGGGGTTTGCTGAAGTACCCATGTCTTGGCTGCTTCAGACGGAAGGGTAAACTCAAAGAGGACATGTGGCAGGGCTCGCACAATAATCCGCCCCTGTCCTTGCCATGGCCGATTCACCGCGTCCCTAAGCTCAGTGAGGGATAAGAGATTGTCCGAGAAAAGGCGGCCAATGAGCATCCTGGATTTGCGAACTCGGGTTGCTTGGATTTCCTCGAGTGAGAATTCCACCACCTGGTCATTCGTGACGCGAGCCATGGGTTCCACCTGCGTAGAGAGAGGAACAGCAAGGTTTGTCAAGGGACGGTCGGCAGTACCCTTTAATGACCAAGGGAAGCTTCAGAGAAGTTTGCACAAACACTTCAAGGGATCAGAATTCATCCAAACATGGAAGTGAATATCAGCCAGAGAAAGCACCCACTTACCGGAGAGGTTACGTGCTTCTCGCTGCGTCGTCGTCTTTTGCCACGCCAATTGGTTGCCAAGCTTCGGAGAGCGTATGGAAACCGAGGGGCAGGAAGGACGTAATAAATAGCCTATCAAAGAATGGGTTGTTAACGGCCAGGAGAGGCTAAGTTTAATTAGGAGACTCATAGGATGGGTTATCTTCCCGATCTGCATAGATCTTCCGCCGCGTTTTACGACGTATTGGGGGTTAGGAGTCATGCCACCAAAACGATAAATTAGGGCCTCCCTTAGTCTGGTAGGAGTCCAACTCCAGGTAGGTATACTAAAACACCCTGATCGTCGGCCCACAGCCGACCAGACCAGCCTCACCGGACGGTCGTCGTTCGTCCCGATCTTCGACAACCGCCCATTTCTCATCTCACCAGACTTCGCCCCATTCCGGGATCTGAATCCTGGTTTCATTCTATTATTTTTGCCATTCAACTCCATTACCGGAGCCACAATAGCATCCGGTGTTTCACTCGTCTTATCTGCCCCATCGAACTCATCGGAGGACGGGGTATCAAACTCATCAGACGACGGAAGATGAAATCTCCACACCTGTATTCCGCTCGACCTCGTCCCAGGCCGGAAATTGAAATCAGGTTGAGCAGGTGCATCCTGCGTAAAATCTTTAACAACCGCAGGAGCATCCCACTCCTCTCCTTCTAATTCACCAGGAGAGGGGATAATGAACCGCCATCCCTGGCGTTTGCAGACTCGGCCACGTTTAACTTGAGGACCGGTTTGCACTGGATCCATGGCCGGACGTCCCTTCCTTTTAAGGGGACCAGGATTCAACCTATCTTTTATCGCCTTGCAGCTGTGTGGTAAATTTTGATTTAGCGTCGTCATCTTACGCCGGCGAGGGTGTAAGTTGCACTCCTCTTGTTCACCATCCTGAAACAGAGATCATGGAAGCCTTGGTTCGCAAGCGCTGCTTCCAGAGAACGAGCTATTGACCATGCGATGATCTTGCCGGCCGTCAACAAAAGCCACCAAACCGCCGAGAAAAAGAGAGTGCAGCTACAGAGTCTCGCCATTATTTTTAAGTCACTCAATTATTTTCTTAGATGCGTTATATTAATTTTATAGGGAAGATGAGAAACGATTAATTGAAATGTATGCATTTTGGTGTTACTAATATTTCTTGAGGACCCATTCACCCATATATATTTAATCATTTGTATTGGCATGATTTTATTTATTTTGTGGTTAATTGCCAATGGAGGAACGAAAGAAAGAAGAAAAGAAAGGGAAACGGGGAGGGATTTGTTTTTGTGATAAATGATTGACAATGAAAGTGAAAGAAATGGGAAAGTAAGAGAGAGAGAAAGGGATTTTCGAGAGAGGACGATTAAGGGTGAAGGAGGGTGCGAGGTATTGAATAATGGATTAGCTAGGTTTTTTGTTGTCAACCATTCGGTTGGCTGCGAGAGTGGGAGAGCTGGGAAGTGAGTTCATGGACAGGGGCACGTTTGATCAAGCCTGGCATGGAGTTGTCGGGCCAATATCGGCTGGGAACAAGTCTGCCTTGAATGGTGGATATGAGGGCAAGGCCAATGCCCAACAAATTCCAAACTCACGTGGACTATTAAAAGGTGCACCGTTGTTGTGTGATAGGTGCAAAAATCATGATCGTGGTAAACAGAACACCCACACACGTGTTGGTGCACCTGCGAGCCTCAGTACTCATACTCCAAACAACGTGGTGACTGGTGAGGGCGTGGAGCTGACAAAACCATACCATTCTAGGCAAGCAATGCCACATGGTCGATTTGATCAGACAAAGATGCCACAAAACGTAAATTTCATGCCTAGAACCAAGAACGTTAATGATTTTCATTTTGAGAGGCTGAGATGAGGCCACGTCAAGCTTGTGGAATTTTAAACAAGTATGTTCGAGCTTGTGGAATCCAACTTCTAAGCCAAATTAAAGCATGTAGAGCCAGCTATGATTAGTCACGGGAGCTATGAATGACTTGATTGGTTTGATCAGTGGAGTTGGCAGTGGGTGTGGAATTTTGGCATGATAGTTTATGTCAAAGCCAACCATGTTTTTGTTTAGCTATTTTTAAAAAAAATTGTCTAATTTAGGCCATGTAATAAATATACAAACAAAGAAAATAATAATTATTAATTTTTTTTTTATCAAACGGCATTGTAAGGAAAAAGCCACAACTTTGTTGACAAGGAAACATACTTGTTTCCGCCGAGTAGAAGAACTGGCTATATAAAATATAAGTGGCCAACACGGTACGACAGAAGAAGAAATAGCTATTCGTGAGAGAAATGGATCTGCATCAGTGTGAGTGGAGGCCTAACAACATCGTCGGTGAAATCAGCGTTGCAGAGAGTTGGTGCACTGCCGTTTCATTTTAGGCTTTTTGGTCAACATTGTAGAGAAAATTGGATAAATTACTGTTCAAAATAGGGCTGCAGTGTTTGCTTGAGAGGGTCGCTTGGCTGGTCGGGTTTTGACCCCAACCAATACCGCAACTCGTGAGAAAGAATGAAAGAAAATAATATATATATATATTTTTTTTCCCCTCTTCTTTGCCGCAAGTTTGCTTGACAATAGAGGTGGCAATTTTCAATCCAATCCATCAATCCATTAAAAATATCCACCTAATCTAATCTATTTAAATCCAATCCAATGGATTGGTGGATTCATGGATTGATCCATGGATCCAAATGTCAAATTACGGTTTGGTACTTATACTTTTTCTATTTTACATTTTGGTACCAAAATTTATTTTTTATACAAAAAATATGATTGGAAAATTACGTTGTGGTACCTAAAATTTCTCATTACAACATTTTAGTACATAAACTTTTCACATTTTACATATTGGTCATTGGTTGAGATGTGATTTGGATTCCTTGATAATCCACCAATCCACTTGATCCATGGACCCACTAGTTCATAAATCTTAATCAATTTGCCACCTCTACTTGGCAATAACAATGTTGTTGGGAGTTTTAACAAAGAAAGGAAAAGCAGAGCCAAATACCAGGCAAAGCAACAGTGAAGTTTGTTGGCTTAAATTTTATTTTAAATAAATAAATCTGTCAAGGTTAAAAAAATAAATGAAGGGTCAGCAGAATTGTTGAGATTGTTGTAGTGTTGTTGGCGAAGAAAGAGAATCCAAACTAGTGGCGAACCGAGAAATTTTATATAGAGGTGTCCCTTTCAAAAATTAAGTTCAAATAATAATGGCGCGTTGCCGTTTTTAGGTCGAACCAAACAGCATTGCAGGCTGCTGCAACAATGCTGTTTATAAACGTGCAGCGTCGTTTGGCCTTTGTATTAAAAATAAAAAGAGGGTCAAGTGCATGCGTTGGGGAAGAGCTGCATTGCTGATGAATGTGGAGTTCTATTTGCCCTCTTGCAGACGGGACGACATTGCATGGCCATTAAGCAGCTGGGGTTTTTTTTATTTTTTTTAAATTAATAATAATTTGTTGATTACCCAAAGCAGCACTGCGAGCAATGGTTATGTTTGCATTAAACCTAGACCAGCTGGATTTTTCTTTGTGCCCAAATTAATATGGTAGAATTTTGTTGGCGTAAACCGTAACATACCGCGACACACTACCTATTAATTCGGACAAAAATAACACTAAATTAAACCTCCATTTGTGTATTTGAAGAACAAAGTTAGTTGATTCTTCATCTAGTTGAGAACCAACAAATTGCCAAATGATCGCTTATGTGTTATCTCCTTATCAAAGAACCACACAAAAACCAGAAAGACTCATATAATATTCATAGACAATGTCTAGACTATGGAGTCGATAAAAATTAAACACTAGAAAAAAAATTCGTTCATCTTGATGACATAAGGAAAATTATTGAGAGATATGCGACCATCTTAGTGGTTCAAAATTACCTCGCGTCATCACAAAGATTATCAACCGGGAGAACCTTCGGACCACTCGAGAGAGGAGAGAAGTGGTAACACAAAGAGGAACAGGGAAACAAGGCTATTTGATGTGTGTGTGTGTTTGAAAATTGAAAAACCCCACTTATATCCTCATATTTCTTCTCATTTAATTACTACCACAAATTTTTTGTTTCACTAGCATATTGGTCACTATAATTTTTATTTTTATAGCTACCGACGAAGGGTTGGAGGGCAAACAAGAGTTAATTTTTTTAACATGGTCTGTCTGGTCCGGATCGTATAGTATATGGTCTGGTCCATGGTCTGTGTTCCAGCCTCTTGGTCTGATCACAGACCATATCTATTATCTTGTCTGAACCAGACCGCACCGTTTCCCACCCCTAGCGTAGAGAAACCAAATCTTGCTGGTCCTTGCCATCTGAGATAAAATGGTACTACGACCAAAATAATAATAACAATAAAAAAAGAAAAAGTACGGCCAAACGTAGAGTTCCCACTTCCCAACTTTGCAAGGTTGTTTACAATTGCTACTTGGCTATTACAAATACGGGAGGATATGAAGCATCGATGGTACATGCCATCTGAGATATGAAGCAAAGCTTATGGCTAACTAAAATGGGTGGTGATAGTACAAGAGGAAAAAAAAGGGGTTCAGGCCGCAATAGAAAGTGGATCCACAGCGTTTCGGACAAGGACAAATTGATAGTAAATCGAATGAAGGAAATGCCGTTGTTTTTATCATAAACAGCGTTGCGGAGCCTCGTGCAGCATTGTGGAGTAGTAGTGGCATAATAATAATGAAACGCATATGTATTTTTTTCGTTGTGGGGTAAGAAGATCCGTATGTTTTTCTATCAAGTCTAGGGATTTGCCGCAAGAGTGTTGGGCCACAAAGTTATATTTAGTGGCGTTATCATATTAGATTACTAGTTTTTATTGTCCGCGCTCCGGCGTTGGGATTTGTAGTACATGAGGTGAAATCACATTTTGCATTTTATGTGATCAAACAACTAATGACACTTTTATTATGCTTTATAGCAAAGGTGGTTTAAAGTATAACTTGAAATATAGATTGGAATGTACCAATTTTCAATGGTTTCCATCAATTTACAATAAAGCTAGTAATTTCATCAAGGCAAAGTTAAAAAATTTAATACCTTTATCAACCAGAAGAAAGATAGGCTGGAATCGAAAAGGAAGATCCACATGAAAGGGCAAATTAAAATTCATACTAACATGAATTCTCAACAACAACAAAACAACATGCATCTTAATATGGTCTTTCCATTTCCATGTAGTACATTCCATGTAAAGTTATTGGCAGCCAAAATTATAAACCAATTCAACCCAAAAAAATTGGAAGCTTTCATAACCAAGAACTTCCCAAATTATATAAGCAAAACCGCAGAGTTTTCTGCGGGATTCAACTGGACTATAGAGATGACAGAAGGTTCCCTCCAAACCAAAATCCATCTTGGAACTTCTAATTGATCAACTATATACATTATAGAAGGTGCATTAAATAAATCAATTTCATGATCTGTACTGGCAACATTTATTTAGGCATAAGTCTTCTGCTGGTTTGATACAAAAAGCTTTAAATGGAGAAGAAAATATAACATGATCGTCGATAGTTGTTCTTTAGAGGCCACCTGTTTGCTTGATTATTCTATAGCAAATTAACATGTATATTATCAAAACTTGTCTTAATCACATAAAGGACATAGAAAAGAAGTCAACTTTTACTCCAGAGGAAGTTAAATAAAAAATTGAAGTAATGGTCAAATTGATGGCCGTCGGTAGGCATAATTGATGAAGGCAGAACAAATTTTTTAAAACAACTACAACTTAGAAAATTTTAGACCGCTTACGAAGGGAAAATATTAATGAAGTCTTTCCAAAAGCACATAGGTTCTCTCATCGAGCAAATTAACTGTTGATAGCTATGACATCAGAGGATTTTTTGAAACATGAATGATAAATTGGGTCCTATAACCATTCAAAGGGCCATCGGGAAAAAAAGAAAGAAATGCCTATTGGGGAAATCAACCAAATAAGGACAGGGGAGAGTCCATAGAAAGAAAGAAGGATCGAATTGTTGGGCAGAAAATACAGAGCTCGCAAACAACAGCTCAAAAGGACTGTGCAGAAAGATGGATGGGGGAAGAGTACATAGGATGTCAGCAACATAAAAGATGAAAAACCCATGATTGTGGGATAGACCACCGTACCTCAAGTGTTTCTTCCTTCCTAGTGCCTTACACCCAACAACATTTCCTGTCCATCAACACATCAGATGAACAAACCAAATGAATTAAGTCAAATGGAGGCCCAATCATAGCAAACAAAGGCTGAGATACATAAAGTTAGGACAAACCCATTAAAGCAACTATGTTTCCCTCATCTAGGTAGAGCCAGGTCACCTTACTCAGCTACAACGGCGGAGGATCCATCTGCAATAGATAAAGAATTGGGCCAGAGGATCAAAGATAGAAAGAGAAGAAGTGAGAGAGTTGGCTAAAGTTAGGAGGAGATGGAGTGACATGTAACATAGGAAAGTTGGAACTATGGGCAACCATCGGACCCCTGCCGACATTTTACGACCCCCATCTGGCCACTTCTTTCGCTAGCTGAGAAATCCTAGATAGCTTCCACGAGAGGAAATCAAATGAATCAATTAGATGAAAGTATGGGAGAGAACGCACCCATATTGAGAAACAGATTCACCAGCAAGAACAATTACCTCTTGTTTAACCGCAAACCTCTGGATCTGCCACTTCAGTCTTGTCCGACAATTCTCTTTGCCTTTCAACTTCATTCATCAACCTAGAGTTCCACTCTTCTTTGAGTGGCCAATGATAGAAATCAGGACAAATCTGTGAACCCATATTTCAATCTGGAGAGGAATAGAAAGAGAGATATGAGTCATACTGGTGACCGCAAAAGAACTACATAT